GGGACACAGGGACATGGAGGAGACACAGGGACATGGAGATGACACAGGGGCATAACACCAGGGACATGGAGGAGACACACGGACATGGAGGAGACACACCGACATTGAGGAGACACAGGGACATAACATCAGGGACATGGAGGAGACACACGGACATGGAGGAGACGCAGAAACATGGAGGAGACACTGGGACATGAAGATGACACAGGGACATAACATCAGGGACATGGAGGAGTCCCAGGGACATGGAGATGACACACGGACATGGAGGAGACACTGGGACATGGAGGAGACACACGGACATGGAGGAGACACAGGGACATGGAGGAGACACTGGGACATGGAGGGGACACAGGGGCATAACACAAGGGACATGGAGGAGACACAGGGACATGGAGGAGACACATGGACATAGCACCAGCGACATGGAGGAGCACAGGGTCATAACACCAGGGACATGGAGGAGTCACAGGGACATAGCACCAGAGACATGGAGGAGACACAGGGTCATAACACCAGGGACATGGAGGAGACACAGGGACATGGAGGAGACACGTGGACATGGAGATGATACATGGACATAACACCAGGGACATGGAGACACATGGACATGGAGGAGACACAGGGTCATAACACCAGGGACATGGAGGAGACACGTGGACATGGAGATGATACATGGACATAACACCAGGGACATGGAGGAGACACGTTGACATGGAGGAGACACGTGGACATGGAGGAGACACGGACATGGAGGAGACACGTGGACATGGAGGAGACATGGAGATGACACAGGGGCATAGCACCAGAGACATGCAGGAGACACAGGGGCATAACACCAGGGACATGGAGGAGACACACGGACATGGAGGAGACATGTGGACATGGAGGAGACACAGGGACATGGAGATGAAACACGGACATAACACCAGGGACATGCAGGAGACATACAGACATGGAGGAGACACACGGACATGGAGGAGACACACGGACATGGAGGAGACACACGGACATGGAGATGACACATGGGCATAGCACCAGAGACACACACGGAGGAGACACAGGGACATAACACCTGGGACATGGAAGAGACAAAGGGACATGGAGGAGTCACAAGGACATGGAGGAGACGCATGGACATAGCACCAGAGACATGGAAGTGACACAGGGACATGGAGGAGACACATGGACATGGAGGAGAAAAGGGGCATAACACCAGAGACATGGAGGAGACACATGGATATGGAGGAGAAAAGGGACATAGCACAAGAGACACACACAGAGGAGACACAGGGACATGGAGGAGACATGCGGACATGGAGACAAAGGGACATAACACCAGAGACATGGACACATAGACAATGATGAGACTCAGGGACATAACGCCAGAAACATGGAGGAGACACAGGGACATGGAGGAGACACTGGGACATGGAGGAGATAAGGATATAACACCAGGGACACGGAGGAGACACAAGGACATGGAGGAGACACATGGACATGGGGGAGACACGGGGACATGAGGGAGACACGGGGACATGGAGGATACAGGGACATGGGGAAGACACAGGGACATAACACCAAGGACATGGGGGAGACACGGGAATAACACCCGAGACACAGGGACACAGGAGAGACACATTGAAATGGAGGAGACGCGGGGACATGGGGGAGTCAGGGGGACATGGACGAGACACAGGGACAAGGGGAGACACATGGGCATAGAGGATACACAGGGACAAGGGGGGACATGGGGAGATGGAGGGGACAGGGACATGGAGACACGGGGACATGGGGGAACACGGGGACATAGAGGAGACACAGGGACAAGGGGGGAGATGGAGGGGGCAGGGACATGGAGGAGACAAAAGGACATTGTGAAGTGACATGGACATGGGGGAGACAGGGGGACATGGACGAGACACAGGGACAAGGGGGACACATGGCATAGAGGAGACACGGGGAAATAAAGGAGACACAGGGACATGGAGGAGACACAGGGACATTGTGGAGAAACATGGACATGGAGGAGACACGGGGACGACAGGGGGACATGGACGAGACACAGGGACAAGGGGAGACACATGGACACAGAGGAGACACAGGGACAATGGGGGACACGGGGACGTAGAGGAGACACAGGGACAAGGGGGGGGAACGGGGAGATTGAGGGGACAGGGACATGGAGGAGACAAAGGGACATTGTGGAGAGACATGGACATGGAGGAGACACAGGGACATGTGGGAGACAAAGGGACATTGTGGGGAAACATGGACATGGAGGAGACACAAGGACATGTGGGAGACAGGGGGACATGGACGAGACACAGGGACAAGGGGAGACACATGGACATAGAGGAGACACAGGGACAAGGGGGGACACGGGGAGATGGAGGTGACACGGTGACATTGAGGAGACACAGGGACATGAAGGAGATAGGAACATGGAGGAGACACATGGACATGGAGGAGACACAGGGACATGGCGGAGACACAAGGACATGGCGGAGACACAAGGACACAACACTAGAGACATGGAGGAGACACAAGGACATAACATGTGGCGCTCAGTTGTCCATGTACAGAATTAGGTCCCTTTGCTGTATCCAAGATTCGCCCTGATAATGATCTTTGATCTGGCAGCACCATATTTGTGCTGATGGGTTTTGCTAGTGTAGTAAACATAAATGCCAAAAGTACTGACTGCAGCTAAACCAAATCCACAAAGTCTCTGTGTATAATCATTAGCAGAATCACCTGTTTTAGAAAACAAATACACAAAACATGACTCCAAATAAGAGCTTTACTAAGTTTATTGAGTAAATGATACTTATGGAAACATTAATAAAATAGTTTTAACAAAAGACAATCCTAAATTATTGATTGCATCAATATAAGCATTCATTATCTTAATTCTTAGGAAATATTCGCTATATTTGTTTATTTACCAGATTAAAAAATTGGGACAGTTACATGTTTCTTTCATTTCAAGATTTGCATATGGTATATTTTCCTTAAATTCAATAAATGACATTTGTTTACATGAAGTTTGTTTACAGTTACGTTTGGATTAGGGTGACTTGGGCCAGTTTCTGCCCTTTTACAGCTAGATTTAATTTCCTGCCGTAGTCCTGTAGCTATGCCACAACAGGACACCATGACCTTGTGATTTATAGCGTGAGCGTCGGTCATATTAAAACAATGAATTAAAACCTCAAGCCAGGTTATTTCCCCAATGGCCTGGGAAAAAACGGAACCTATTCTGATTTGGAATACCCACAACCAAGGAGGAACATTTATTCATATAAATTACACTATTGTTAGTAATCGTTTAGAACACTTTTTTTACATTTGTAACATCTATATATTTAGAAACATCTATTTATAGCACTAATACCATTGTAAATAATACCTTTTATAAAATCTATTTAAAGCACTAACACCATCGTAGTTATAACCTTTATAACGTCTATTTATAGCATTAACACAATCGTAAGTATTACCTTTCATAAAATATATTTAAAGCACTAACACCATCGTAATTATTACTTTTATAACGTCTATTTATAGCACTAACACAATCGTAAGTATTACCTTTTATAAAATATATTTATAGCCTTAATCGTAATTATTCCCTTTTATAAAATACATTTATAGCACTAACACCATCGTAATTATTACCTTTTTTAAATCTTCTGGTGTTCCCCGCCGTGATATTGCTGGGATATTGCTAAAAGCGGCGTAAAAAAATACTCACCCAATCGTACTTATTACCTTTTATTAAATCTATTTATAGCACTAACACCACCGTAAACATTACCGTTTATTACATCTATTTATAGCACTAACACCATCATAATTATTACCTTTTATAACACCTATTTATAGCACTAACACCAATGTAATTATTACCTTTATAGCATCTATTTATAGCACTAACACATCGTAATTATTATATTTTTAAACATATATTTATAGCTGTAACACCACCACCGTAAAATTACCTTGTTTGACATCTATTTACAGCACTAACACTATCATAAATGTAACCTTTTATGACATTTAGTTTTTAGCCCCGCACTGGGCCATGTTGCAGCTTTATAACCGCAGCCTGTAAATAATCGAGTATGGACCAGACAAACCAGTGATTGATATTTTGAGCAACGATCTACATCGCCGGGGCGCGATGACACACAATCATTGTAATCGCTTCGTATGACAAGGGAGGGACCTATTCTATTATTTATATGAATAGCGAATAGTACCATCGCATCGCACAACGTCTACTCATATGACCAGCACCATCTTGAAGTTTACCATTTATAACATCTATTTATATGACTAGGTTTACTGTGGAACCTATCATCAATACGATCTATAAATATAACAAGCATCGCCACGAAACTTCGAAAACACTTATTTATATGAATAACAGTATCGTAAATTTTATAGTGTAAAGATCGCAACAGACTAGAGGTTATCATTTAAGGCATCTGTAAATGCGTTAAGCATATCATATGTGGCTTTTATTTCTATAACCAGCACTATCGTGAAGTGTCTCATGTATAACTAGTTAGCAAGTTATTCAATTATTTAGTCATTATAAACTATAGCTAGCTTTGTGGGATATATATCAATGAAAACCGTATTATATATTTTTTATTCATTCCACTTAAAATCCTGAGCTTATCGCAAACTCTGACCCCATATGCCACGGTCAAAACCATTTCTGTAAATACATGTAAATAGCAAATACATTTCTACAGACACCACTGCCGTGAAGCTTGCTTACTTTTTTTATTTTACTTTACTTTACTTTACTTTACTTTATTTATTAAATTAAATTAAATTAAATTAAATTAAATTAAATTAAATTAAATTAAATTAAATTAAATTTAATTTAATTTAATTTAATTTAATTTAATTTAATTTAATTTTATTTTATTTTATTTTATTTTATTTATTTTATCTTATTTTATTTATTTTATTTCATTCATTCATTCATTCATTCATTCATTCATTCATTCATTCATTTATTCATAGGTCAAGTGGTGACTCGGCAAGTCTCTGGATGCGCCGTCGGTTAGTTGTGGAGCTCGGGACATCGGTCATCTTTTTGGTGGGGGAGTTGCCTTGCTTTCTCCGCCACACACGACGTCTGCCGCGGCTCACATCACCCGGGGTTGCTGCCGTTGAGGCGGCTTCTCCTGTCTTAAGTGTCTCCACCTGGTGGACAATCTCGCACTTCTTCACCCCGCCCGGAAGGAATGGTGTTGCTGTCTCCACGCGGCGGTGCTTGTCGCCGACAATGGTGTCCAGATTGCTTCGCTTCCGTTTGCGGGAAAGGTCAAGTGGCTGGTTACTATGGACATCTTTGTGAGGATGAACCTAGAGATAGAAAAATAATGGACTTTTGCTCATTTCCTATCGTTATCAGGCGAGGTGGGTTTATGTTCTTGTGTTTAGTGACAACCCTGCCCTAAAGTTTGAAACAATGAAAATCATATAAGAATACTGTTTGATTCAGTGTACGTTTTTCAACATGTTTTTATTACACATTTTGTTGAAATTGCAACCCTGACAACATTGTTTAATATTATTAATACCTTCTGCCGCAACACAAAACGATAATTAATCTGGTCTCATTAAGATAAATCCCGAACTCGACCCTTCTGCAACCGCACTATGATATCAATCTTTACATTACGAACGGAGACCTTAAAATTAACACCTTGGTGTCATTATTGATTGTTGATCGTTGTTAACGCCACACTCGGCAATATCCCAGCTATGTGACGGTGGAATGTAAATATATCAAGTCTGGACCAGACAACACAGTGATTGACATCATGAGCATCATCTATGCAATAGGAATACAAGGACATGCACCAGGCAAGTCAGCGAGTCGCCTCTTACGACTTCATGGAATGCTAAAGGCCAATTCTAACCCGGATCTTCACGGGTCCATTGGCATATACATTGTACATCGTTCTACAACGTCGCAAGTAGATCGTTTGAATAGCTTTGGTCTACGAGAACCTGTACAGTCCAGGGACGGATGATGAGCGCAATAAATGTTTATGATGTCTTACCTTCCTGGATCGAGCGCCAAGTTGTCCAGAACCCGTAGCAGCACCTTCTGTGTCTCGTGTAGCAGAACGCTCTGAGAGAGGTTGTAGACTCAGTCTGGAGAACGGCAACCTGAGCATCAACACCTGTTTGTCGACGCGGGCCTTGGACCTCCTGGATGTACGTCTGCGCTTCTTGGTGTGCTCCTGGAACGGACGGTGTGGGACCTACTTGTCATTTGTTATCAAAGCACATGAAACGTATGTGACAATACATACAGATGTGTGTGTGTGTGTGTGTGTGTGTGTGTGTGTGTGTGTGTGTGTGTGTGTGTGTGTGTGTGTGTGTGTGTGTGTGTGTGATTGTATGTGTGTGTGAACCAGTTAAGACACAAGTGCACTTAAAATCGTGCTTCTAAAGATAAAAAAGGGGATAACTAAGAAATACTGGATAAATAAAAAGCTGGATCTAGGATGTCAGGAGGTTAAGATTTGCAGAGTCTGCAATCCCTAGTAATATCATAACGTGGTCCTACCTGTGGAAGACTTAAAGCGTGGTGCTGGGCGTCTTGGTGTAGGTGGAGACGCGAGGCGGTGACGGCATCATCCAGATAAAGCTAAGTGCACATGAAGCAATATATGAACGAGTCTGTTTACATGTCAAAGAAACAATGAAGAAGAAGTTGTGTGTAATATTTGATGGAAATAAAATAAAAATAATAATGACAACAATATATAATTTAAACTGATGTCAAGATCTATCGTATTGTCGTTCACTTGCAACCAAGCGAAAATCATATCCGGTCAATTAAAATCAGATGAAGACTAAAGTTGCATTAAAATTATATCCAGTACAAATATAGAGAGCGGCTCAACAAATAGGAAATGCCCTTTGAACATAATATAATTTGAAAAATATTTGGCCCAAAAATCGTAAAACAAAACAAAACAAACAAAACTGAAAAGATTTTATCAAATTCCAAAATTGTATTCCTTTAGTCATGTTTAAATTTTACATGGGTTCGTCATTCCAAATGCAGGGTTAGAAATTGGCACTGATCTTATACTGGTCTTACTGGTCTTTGCCAAAGTACCCTATAGTTAAGGTGTCATAAGGACTACTAGAATTTTGCCATTATCATGGGTTTTGCTATATGTTATCATTATAAGGACTACTTGGCAGTTAGTTTCTATCGATGAGATGGAAACGGGAAACTGTTTCGTGAATGTTTCCATAATTACAATTTGAACAGTTCGGAGAACATCCTCATCAATAACTGACGTGTACGCACAAAGTCCACGGTGCCCTTAGCAAAGCCGCAAACATGTGATATAGGGAAATTATTGAAAGGCAACGATTAAGAGTTACCTCCCTTTACCTATTCCCAAACTTAAATAGGCACCGTGAAGAAGCCCACTTGTGGAGGAAAGATTGTTCTTAAAATAGGGCAAAGTATAGGTTGGTGCCTTACATGAATTAAACGGGGTTGATTAGGTGAACAGTCAGCAGTACACAAGTCACTGCATAGTACCGTAACTGCTTTAAACGTGCACAGAACTTTGTCTTCTGTCATGATATGGATCACAAATACATCGCATTTATACTCGGGAAACGATTTGCGTCAATCTATACTATCAGGCCTGAGTGAAGGTAGACCTGACTTGGCATATCCAACTTATCTGTAGCTTATTATGGATTTGTGTGTAGATTTCCACCAGTCTCGGACTAACGGACAAGTGTCCATATCTATAGATGCATATACGCTTGAAACATTGTAACCTACCCGATCTTAATTCAAGGGTCGTCTCCTACGACAAGCATCATGTCCTTGGGACCTATTCTAACCTGAAAATCCCTAAGGGGTAAGTATATGGGTATAGCTGTCTACGCGGAATATACCTGTACAGGTCCACAGAGAGAAGGATCCAGTGCCACGGGAGTAGGGAGAGGGCTGGGGCTCATAAAAGACCCTCCCTTCCCGTGGGTGGGGTGCGCGGTGAAGATGGGGCAGCCAGTGGCGGGATCTTTGGGGCATGCTCCACGTTTTAGGAAGAACATCTCCAGGTGGGCGGGGCGCCCGGGGGTGGGGCGGAGGTAGGGTGGGAGACGGTGGTAGGATACAGGGGGGCGGGTGACAGGGCGTCCTGGGGGAGGAGATTCGTATAAAGATGAAGGAGGTGTCAGTAGTCGTGCATGGAATGATTGAAACATGTCATTTTCGGGGACGGTTTATTCGTCTACAATGGAAAGGTAAACTCTAGTTAAAAGGGAGTGAAAACGAGTTCTGTTGCATTGAAACAACTATGACAAAAAGAAATTCGGGCCAAAGAAAATATACACATGAAAATTGGACTTGACCAACAAATAACAAACGTTATCAAAAGGGTACTAGACGGGGAACGGTCCTGAAACAAATGATATCAGTAAACAATACATCCCCATTTCTTGCTTGTTTTATTTGTTTGTTTGTTGTTTAACGCCGCACTCAGCAATATTCCTGCTATATGACGGCGGTGTGTAAATAATCGCGTCTGGACCAGACAATCCAGTGATTTACATCATGAGCATCGACCAAAGCAATTGAGATACGATGACATGCATTAGCCAAGTCAGCGAGCCTGACCACCCGATCCCGTTAGTCGCCTCTTATAACAAGCATGGTCGCCTTTTACGGTAAGCATGGGTTGCTGAAAACCTATTCTACCCCGGATCTTCACGGGTCTGTTTTATTTGTAGTGCGACCACCATGAAACATCGATGTATACTTTCTTTTGCTCGGCAGTATAGTTTGAATTCAGTTATTATTAGGTGCTGTACGTGTCATATTGAGCAGGGCACACCAAGTCAGTTGATAAGTTTTAATGTGAAGTAATTTTGAAAGACCAATCTGGAATTGAACTATTTGGGATATTTTCAAATGTGCTTTGGTTTATGATACGTAATCAACTACTCGAATACACTTCTAAATGCCTTTCAAAGACCTGATACTGGAATACCAATTAGTGGATATTTATTCTTGTCATCTTATTTAGTATAAAGTTGGCCATCTAATTTAGGCACAGCAGCTATACAACCAAGTAATAATTTCTTGTAATTGTTCCTGATGAAAACATAATAATGCTAACAATTAAACTGAGGCTGCGATCCTGACAACAATACTGGTTGGTACAACGGAATTGGCAGATGTACACAGATGAAGTATAGTTCTTTTCATGCTATATACTTGTAATAATAACATTTTAAATGTGTAGCTATGAATTTCTGTAGTCGATGGAAGTAATGAAAGGGTTGTTAATAAAACTTATATCATTTAAATGTCGGAAACTTCTTTTACTTTTTAACTTTATCGACTATATTCCCCTTTCGTGACTACTCGTGTGATTCCGAGGCAAACGGAATGGTCACGGAAAGGGGCGAGTGGACACGGAAGGGACGCCATTTTTTTCATAGTAACCGCCTTGACAACACCTCGAGCGGCCATTTTGGATCAATGTTGAGGTCTGACCAAGTTTGTGTTTGAAGCGGGAAATTCAAAATATTTAGGCGAGAAATAACATATGCACTACAAGTGTATTGCTGATATCATTAGAAGGAATATGCGATGAAATAAAATGTGATTTTTTATGAGAAAAACACTAAACGGTAAAACTTTCGTGAAGAATGCAAAAATGTCGGCCCGAAATGACAGAATACTCAGTGAACAAGCAGAATGAGGAGTTGAAAAGATGAAGTTCAAATATTGTCATGCCATGAGTCATTGTCACATAGAATCCATCAGTAAAAATATAATCAGTAACACACCCGTCACTTCATGACTGATCAGGGACATCACTGTAATCGATTGTCTCATTTTGAGGATAAGGAAGGTTCCGTTAGAATTTTGTGGAATCTCATAGAAATGTCAGTGTCTCAAATAAAATAACTATATAAACATCTACAAACCTGAGACAGCTCTCTCATCCATCCTTGGTAGAATCCGAACACTTGTGAAGATTCAATGGCAAAATAGAAAACTCTGACAGCGCTTCGATGTATCTCTGATGAGCGACAAGGAAACAGTAGGCCGAGGTTGCTTTGACGTCAGCTTTTATCAACAACACGCGGACGTGAGAGAAAACAAGCGTAACTAAGCAACGCGTTAACAAAGGGGCATTGTCTTGCCATATGTACGAAAACCACAACTTATCTTGCTTAGTTTTCAAAAGCGTTTCATGATATAATATACAAGACAACTTGATCGAGAGGATCAACATGGCGCGAAGAAATTTGGAATGTCATAATGCGCACATTGTTCACCCAGATGGTGAAATTAATTTTAACTTGCATGTGATACCTACAGAATCAGGAATGAGAACGTGACACATCTGAGTTTAAACATATATGTAATAGAAAAAGTTATTCACGCTGTACAGAAGGTCTCATCTCACTACACGGAAACTTTGTCTCCCTTCCGTGTCTGTCATCGGAGTTTACTGCGCGGACAAGTTCAAACTACTGATCAGTAGTTTAACAACCATATTCGCGAATTTCTTCTTTTGTATCAGTTGATATCTTTTTGAAGTACAAGGCTACAGAATGTAGTTGACACACAGTCTTAAATACATACAAGTTATAAAGTATGAGACTCGTGAAGATCCTGGGTAGAATAGGTCTTCAGCAACCCATGCTTGCTGTAAAAGGCGACTATGCTTGTCCTAAGAAGCGAGAAACACGGGATCAGGTGGTCAGGCTTGCTGACTTGGTTGATGCATATCATCGTATCCCAATTTCGTAGATCGATTGCTGAGTGCGGCGTTAAACAACAAACCCAACTCGAACGGGTCTCGATGAAATGCATGGCCTGTGATTGAAATATGCCACGTGGTCGGGGTACGATGGGACCACCCGATCCATTTGGTCCCACTTGCTTCACAAGGCAAGATTTGATTATTTACAAGACCGAGGTAATTTGATGTGGTTGAGGAACTGGACTCAATATATTCGGTGTAAAGCCAACGATTTAGGGAGTAAAATATGTTCTGCAAAAATCCAGCTATTTTAGTTCAAACTGTAAAGAAATTTGGCATGTGTTAACTTCGTAGTCTGAGTCAACACGCTAAGTTGGTAGTTGTTTTTTTCCCATATATTTTAATTTGAACCTATGTACTTCGACCATGCTGGAAGCTGAAACTTTTTATAGCCATGGCAGCCATTGTTTTCAAAATATATCGACATTTAGTGTAATTGGTAGTGAGGCTGACGATGTTCCGTTTTCCGCAATACTTTGTAATGTAATCCTATATTTGACCTTTGCACTTTGACCATGGTCTTAAGTTGTCTCAGAATGCATATTCTCCAATTATAAACATCATCTCTCCAGAAAAAGACACTGCCACGCCATTCTGAACTGTTGACAAAATATACAGGTTACCTAGTGTAGTGTCACTATTTTCACCAACGGTGGTTTTCTGGCAGCAAGATGGCGTACCAAAGAAACAGTTGGTAGTGAGGCTCACGATATTCCGTTTTCAGGAATACTTTGTTATGTAATCCTATATTTGACCTTTGCACTTTGACCATGGTCTTAAGTTGTCTCAGAATGCATATTCTCCAATTATAAACATCATCTCACCAGAAAAAAAACACTGCCACGCCATTTTTGAAGTGTTGACAAAATATACAGGTGACCTACAGTGTAGGGTCATTATTTTCACCAACGTTGGTTTTCTGGCAGCAAGATGGCATACCAAAGAAACAGAAACCCTTGCGAATATTTTTGTTCAGTCAATGACTATTTAACACCTCCGACAATTTGGGCATGCATGATACAGGGTTTTGTTGACCATCTTAAAGTTTCATTTGGAACAATAGGTAATAATTTTTTTTATGGATTTATAGGATTGAAAATATGTTTTAGTTATATAAAAATCCTGTATTGTCAAAGCTATCTTTACCATCACCGGTACAAAGCAAACCCTTGTCATTCGGATTCTAATTTCTTTTTTTCTGATTGTTCGAATTACAGCGCCTTAGACAACATGTACATCCATGTCCTGATACTTTGAGGAGAAACATCATGGGTCTCATGTATTACAAGCAAATGCATCATCTAAGCAAATGTCAGAATCTGAGTCATGTCTTGTTGGAAAACACAACAAAAACTCAAAAGCCAAATATCCAATGTATTTATTCATATATATTTCTCAATCACAGTATTATACATCATTGTTGCATTAGATTAGTAAACAATAGTTTATTATATCCAACTCCTAATTATGTAAGCAAAATGATGAATAATCTTTTGAGTCTACTTCAGACCCAACATACATGATGAGAGCAGCAGCACTTGTACAAAAATGCAACCCTCACATTTCTGTTTGCTTCAAATCCACAATCCTTCAAGTTCAGAAACACAACAAAATTCATGAAAATATTTCTCAAATGCAACTGAAAACTACAGGTTGGCACACCGGATTATCTAAGTCAAAATATTCAACTACTTACAACAAACTAACAACAGGCTTGCTTCGAAAATAAAATCTATGAATTCTTTTTAATTATTCGAGGTTAAAAGGCAAGGAGTAGCAATTTAATAAAAATAATTCCTGGACAACCAAAATAATATTTCTAATCAAGAAAGGCAATGTTGTAAGTTCTGTTAAAGACTCACAAGCTGCAGACTATCACAACCCTACAGCTCTCACATTGGCTCAACCAACAGAATGATGAAGTGTCCAGTCCCGTATGAACAAATATTTCCATGTAACAACTGTTAGAAACTAAAATGCCACACTACTCAAGGAATGAAACAATTCCAGAATGCTAAAACAGTGTTACAAGGTAACTCCTCTCACAATGACAATAAATAACCAACCATTCACCAATAAAGTGGAATAAATCTGAACCACGTGACTACAAGATGGAAGCAATGAAATGTTTGTGTAAGTGTAACAGTGTAACACTAAGATAATATTGAGTTGATAAATATGTCAGAGTACAATGAAATGAAAGACATCCGCCAAATAAAAAAAATGGTGAAAAGAAAAGAGAGGACGACGGTGTCATAGCAGTGGGGAGGTCCAGGCATAATTATTATTATTCTCATTTGCAACATCAAAGAAAGTTCACTATTTCATTATGCATTTTGCATATTGAACAATTTTACAAACACATTAAAATTCTCATCATTTCAGATATAAGTCTTATAATTTATATTTCAGGCCTCGAAAAAAATAATGTTTCTCATGAGCACGATCAGAATCATATTTTTTTAAATATCCGAGCCACTTGACTTCTTACCCCTTCTTTATTAGAAGACAGAAGACACATACAAACTCGTTATCAAACATGGCATGATAGTTAAGGCAAGGAAAAGTAACTCTTCTACTTAAATCCAGACCATTTTGACATTCTTAGACATGGTATCAAAACTGGCATCTTAATGAACAAAACCAAAATTTACTGTCTGCCATGAAATTGCCTCAGTCAAACTACAGGCATGATGAGAAGCATTTAAAAAAAAAAACTTTCCAGAGTCTTGTGTAAAACTGCTAGGCCCATTTAACCCCATGAGTGAGCAACATCTCACCTGTAATACATACACCCACAACTACTATAGGACTAACAAGCTGCTGGACTATTGTTAGTGATGATCCCTCCTCAGTGACAAAAACAAGTGACACTGATGAATAAATTGACAAGAGAACTGACAAGGCTTCACCTTATTGCAGTGCTATTTGCATAGAATAAGGGAGGTTCCCACTGTGCTCAATGATAAGCTGCCTGAAAGGAAATCACAAACAGACAGAAAAATATCCCTGAATAAACCTAAAATCACTCCAAGCTCCCAAAAGTAGGAAATTCAAATTAATTTCAATTTTATTGGTAAGAAACTATTCCATAGTACAATTTACTTAAAAATCATTTACCAGGTTAAACAGAATAACTCTTAAATCCCAATGCATTCATTGACTGTGAAATGTGAGAATTGTAAGCTAGTCTTGTCCTCAAAGTATTCAAATTAATATTACTGCGGATAGTTTGTCCCAAACGCAAAAAAATAATTCACAACTTCTGAGATGACCTACCGTTACTCATTCTTCAGCCAGTCAACCACTGCATGACAAGCTTAATGCAGTACTTTTCAGCCAGTCAACCACCGCATGAAAAGGTTAATGCAGTATTCCTCAAAAAAGTTGTTAAATCAATGATGCATTGACAGCTGTTAAAAACAAGAGACAACAAAAACTGTGAACATCGGTTATTATGCTACAATATCACAATCGGATCATAATTTGAATACTGTAAATAATGAATGGAAGTGATAGATAGATATTGATCAAAATTGTACATGAACAGACACTAGAGTAAGAAGGGATTCGGCGGTTAAAAAGGTGTCAAAGCTGAAAACTTACAGTTAGAGAAGCCTAGCTGTCAAACTTTCAGTTCTACACAATGTTCCAAATTGTGATTAACTACCACAGGGATTCAACATAATGAAAAGTTATTGCCCATAGTCAGTTCTAGATAAACAACATCAGTGAAGGCTGTAAACCTTCATTTGAAACCATTTCCAACACCCAAACAATGCTTATTAACATAATTGTTCAAAGTTTGGATCTTAAGTGATTTTACAGTTACTGGACTTTGTGATATGCTGTATGTTAATATGAAATAGTGAAAAGTCCCTCTTGGAAACTCTTTAAACAGTGACAAAAAAATATACAAAAATAATCACCTTAATATACAATATGCTGGCCACTTTGATGGACAAAGACCAAGGATACACGCCTGCCATATCTCTCACATGCATCACTTTGACTTAACAAACTCTACTGACCATGTGCCATGCTTACGTTGCAACTCAGCTGTTGCTGTCATCCTGATCATCAAGAGTTGGGTCAAATAAATTAAGTAACATTAAGATGACACAATAAGGCATATATGAATGTCAATCTACCTCACTATATTAATATCACTAACATTTCCATGCGTGCTTATATTTCACCATAAGTACAAACATTCTGATCCAAGGGCTAGGAAGCGCCCCACACTCATGTCCACTGACATCCATTTTCTATGTACCACTTCAAAACTGAAAAAAATGCCACGCAAGCATTATTTTACTTGTATCTGCGATGTAGCTACAAATAAAGCTCCCTCCTTATTGCAAACAAATGTACCACCTTTCTCTCACCAGCAACAATGTCAATTTCAATCACTTTCAAATGAAAATATCTGAAATATTCCGGAAGTTGAGCGGACCGAGAAGAATTGTGCATGTTTTGTCAGAAGGCATTGTAACCATGGTGACAAGCCAGAGACTCATAGGAAGATGTCAGCTGCAGTTTCATGAGAATCACATCCATGTTTTGGGCCAGGCTGACAAGTTCACAGGCCCTGGACTAGGATAGGAAATTGACTGGTTCTCATGAAATCGGACAGTTGCTATGTACAAGTATAGGTCATCACACAGCGACAAAAATAGAGCTATATGTTCACACTCACACAGTATTACATTCACACAACACACCCTTCTTGACAGACATGCACAGTATGTCTCTGTCGAGAGCTTGTCCCACATCTATATGCATGATATCATACATTAATGCATACATTTGAATAGCTTGCTTGGCATGGAAACGGAAGGACCCAGTGGAGAGGAATATACACATGATTACCTCAAGTGATAGTAAATTTCATCTCTATGATCTTATTGATTTGTCTGGATGGATTGATAAGGCAGTGATGTTAGAGAGAATGAGCTGTTAAATTAGGGCCTGAGAAAAGCAATACTTAGTGAAGCTGGGACTGGTGCAGGGTAATGGACAAATTAATTTCCAGGAATCCTTGTTACCAAGGATACAGGGAAGAAACTGCCAGGATTGAGCAGAGACCACAGGTTTCCTACACTAGAAAACCACATTGTGTTACAGCAAGGTATTCCTGTCCACTGGTTGAAATCAACCTCAACAGATTCTTGGATATCAAGCACATGTGGTTATTAATTCCTCACAGACATGCCAAAAGATTAAGAATGTCTTAAACAACCAGTAGGAGGTGAGGGGATTCCATAGTTGATTTTATACATAATGCGAAAATGATAAGACCAATACACTTCCGAGGAAGAGATACACCACAGCTCACAGACACACTCCGACACCTAAGACATGCCTTGACCAATGCAGGGAGACACCACAGCTCATTGACAGCCCCGACACCTCAGAACACCTAGCATCAACAATGCATGGATGCACCAGAGCTCATGAACTGGTTTGACCACTGAGAAAATTTAGTGCGACCAATGCAAGGATTCAGTAGAAATCATTGACAGGCTTGACAATGAGACACCTTAACACTAGCCCAGAGCCCTGTTCCACAAAGGGATTCTACAATTTCTAGCATTATGACTTTTGTATCTCCAATACTTAAGCGTAGACTTACAATACTGTCTCAAGTCTAAGATCACATGTCGAACTGATCAAAATCAAAATGCTTAATAGAAAGTCCTTCTCTTAAATAGATAAACCCTGACTTTGGTTGTACCCCTGCAATAACAGGTCCGTCAACTGAGGCCACCCCTGCATCAGCCTCTCCACCCCTGCATCAGCCTCTCCACACCCCCGCATCAGCCTCTTCATCCCTGCATCAACTACGTGTCAGCTTACCAAGACAGCTACAGGACATCTGCTGTTAACTAGCAAATTGAACATCGGTTGTCAACTGGCACACAGAAGATCAGACATAAAATGGCATACTGAACACAGATTGTCCACAGCTATCGAGACCAGATGTAGCTCTTAGTGACGCTTCTTCTTCCTCCGAGCTCGTTTCCCCCCTGCAGCGGACGTCGTTGATGACCCTGCTCCCCATGCCGATGACGCCTGAGGCTGCTGACTTGACTGCTGTTGCTGTTGTTGCTGTTGTTGTTGCCATGGTGAGGAACCATCAGGAGACATAGACGCCTTGTGAAACAAGTGGTTAATGAAATCTTCTAAATCATGCTCCCTGCAAAAATAAAGGAAATGAAATTGACATCAAATAAAGTTTTGATTGGATACTAGAAATACAAAAGAGAACCAGTATAAGTACTGAATTATGCTTCAGCAAGCTGATGCTAACACAGTTACACTGAATATTAATTTCAGTTGCACACATTATCATTCACCCCCACAGAAATGCAACTACCCTGATGACCTACCCTGACTTTCCATGGCGATGACCTCGGTTTCCATCTGTAGCTATTCTGTAGAAAACATGGTGAGAGTTGGCCTGCATCTGCTTGAAAAACTCCTTCTGTAATCAAAAATGACTAGTGTCAAGCTCATGGTGTTGATTCAGCATTACCATAACTTTAACCACAATTTAACTGCCTACGCTCGGCCGTCACACGGCAAAGGAAAGATAACTCTAATTGAAGACTAAAATATAAAATGCAAAATATTAGGAATGGTTGAATTTCCGTACTGGGAAAAGGAAGCATTGACCTGCAGGACGGAGAAACATTACTTTTCCTTTTGGGGCCTGACTGGGAGACATTCTTATACTCTTCAGTATCACTGCTGTAGTAGGATGTCTTCGAGTTGTGTGAAACAATCTATAAATCTTACAGAAAGACTTCTGTGTTGTCTGATTTCAGTACACTATGTTTGTTTACAAAGGATAAAAGTTCAATCCTGTGACAAGACAAATGAGCTTGTGACAGTGGTGTACTGCAGAGTATCCCCTGTGCTGGGTTGTGTGCCTGACAGAGGGACTTTGTCTAGTGTCCAGTCCGAGACATTGCAATTAATGACATATGTGAAATGGAGGTATATTGGAAAATGATGACAGTTCTTAACTGCCAGATTGATACACGTCATAAAACATTTGATTTAGCAGATTCGGTTTCCAATATGTTGGATCAAGCTTGCAAGGAGTGCCAATCGACCAAAAACCCTCTTTAAGGCTAAAAAAATTAATAGTCTTCTCAGGCACTGCCCACATCATAATAAAATTCATTGCACGTTTCAATTTTTTTTCAATTTTCCATTTTGTTTGTGCATTGTGTTAAAGTATTAGGATTTTTATATGTTTTTGAAAATGGATATAAAAACAAAAGATCCGGCAGATATTACGATGATGCGGGGGGTGCCTGAGAACCAAGACTATTATGTTTTTTAGCCTAACCTCTAGGATTTCTATTTGAGGCCAGAAGACATTGATCCCTAATTGTGGTGATGGTGCAACTCACATGACATGCCACCCACTCTGTTATATCATACACGTGTTGATCCATACATGCGTAGTAGTGCCACAGAAAACCTAGCATCTTCTTCTCTGCCCACACATCTCCCTGCAAATAAACAAATCTTGACACGTCACTCTATTGTCCTAAATGTGCATTATCAAGGTTCATCAACGAGCGAGTGAATATGGTTTTACACCGGTTTTAGCAATATTCCAGCAATATCACGCCGGGGGACACCAGAAATGAGCTTCACACAATGAACCCATTTGTGTTCGGCATGAAGAGCGAACGCTATAACAACCAGACTGCCCCACATCTCCTGGGTTCATACAGATATGGAAGACTAATATTTAAGGCCTTTTCAAGGCTTTTCAAGGCTTTTCAAGGCTTTTCAAGGCTGCCAACTGTCATTTTCAAGGCTTTTTTAGTTGGGTTATAAGTCTGCCAATAGTTAATTACATCCAGCATGCTATGCTATTTTATTATACTATCAACAGCAGTTTGACCATCAGACAGTTTCCAACTAGATTTATTTTCAGACCCAACAAAAAATGAAAGTAAGTTTGTCACAAATTCTTCCGTGATTTTGGCACACAAATCTATCACTGTGATACATTTCACTTTAACATCTTTGGTTCACATTTTTGTGTGCTTTGATACTTTCATTAACAATCAAAATCAAGGCTTTTCAAGACGGACCTTAAAATTCTAGGCCTGTTCAAGTCTGTACGAATCCTGATTATTTCCCATGAACAATGTCAGCCAAACAGATGAAACCCACTACCAACATAAAAAACTTGATTGTCGTCGCACATCTGCGAGAGAATCGTTCACTATGTGTATCAACTTTTGCACCAATGACCTCTCGAACTGCATGTGCAACTGCCTGTTTCATTTCGACACAGGTGTAGTTGGTTGTGTTTGAACATTAGCTCCTCATCAGCATTGAATTACTTAGATCAAAGAAAGTCCTGAAAAGCATGCATTTGTGAAAATAATACACTTGGGTGCTCCTTGCCCTCGTATATCATTTTTCACGAATACACAATTTAGCTTTCATTCTTCATGACATACACCATCAGGCTTGAGTGAGTGAGTGAGTGAGTGAGTGAGGTAAGACATATAGCTACATCAGCAGTATTTCAGCCATATCATGACTACCATCAGGACTGAATACAGCTACAAAACTTAACTAAGAACTACATATGTATATGCAAAAAGAGTAAATGCCCATTGAAAATTTTTTCAGTTTATCATGGTCAGCCTAATGTAGGAGGAAAGTCCAAATTGACCACTTTGGTGAAACCATCGGGGCCCCGAAGCCCAATTAATTACTTGGAAGATTCAATGCTGTAGAAAACAGTTTCGGCATGTGCTGGTGTTCAAATATGCAGGTCATGAATACTTACCACTCAGTGAATAAAGATATGTGTAAATAAATTGACAAAACTGCACTAAACATTTCTGCACCAAATCTACATGACCCACCTCTTTGGCAGAATGAAAGTTGTTACATCTATCACAGAATCGAGCACTGTACCATGGTCGATCAACTGGAATACGCTTATGTTTGCCTCCACAGTTATCACACCTCATCATGTTGGCAGCCTGGAACAGACAACAGTTATCAACATGGAGAAAGGAGCTAAATGGGTAGGACTTGGCCATGTTGAAAATTGGACAAAGAGTCTTAGGATTTTCTTTCGACAAGATCTGCATAATTTGGAAAATAAGGAAAAGCATCAAGAAAGCCTTCAGAAGTACCCATGGTGTGTGTTTGTTGTTTAACTCTGCACTCAGCAATATTCTAGTCATATGACGGCAGTCTGTAAATAATTGAATCTGAACCAGACAATCCAGTATTCATTTCATCTGTAATCGTTTTCAATAAAATATGCAAGATAACTTTCAACCTAAGATATGTTTTCATCTCACATATTCTAGGTAATAGCAGCGATATACCATGAATGTTATCTCATATACATCTGTACATGTCGCTCATATCATACATAGACGACATACTTGGCAACTTCTTGTTACAAAACTAATCAGGAAGTGTGTGCGCAGCAGGTATCAAAGCTAGTTTTTAAAGGAAGATAATTATGTTTATTATTTTTGTTGTAAGAGACTTGTTACTGATGCTCAAATGTCAAAGCAATAGTGAACAGCTGATGATTGATGTTGTGAGGGAAATGGCTGACATATGGAAGTTTTTGATCAGGGATGATGGGGTTAACGAGAAAAAACATGATTTAATTAACAAACAGGCTGAAAAAAAATAAAATTCTGCAGTGTCTGCAACCATGAGTCCAGCAAACAAGACTCATCAGAAAGATGACATATCCCCCCGGCAGCTGTCTGTAAAGTAACCACAAGTAAATGTGCTATTCTGTATTCTGTGGGGTTTTTTTTATGCAAACAAATGACAAATTACAAGAAACAATGACTAAACAAGCGTACAGTCACAAAGTCATCTATATCCCACACCCATTTTAACACGTTATGGTCCCAAACCAGGTAACTGACCCAACATTTCTTTCAGCCCATTTCAAAATAGCTGCAATGGAAATTCTAAAATAAACATTTCTAAAACTTATTAACTTCTTTAATATCAAATGGCACCAGTTCAGTATGTGCTTATATGTAAAAAATAAAAATTTATAAAATTCCTAAATAGCAAAAGGCACCAGTTCAGCAAGAGTCTGATAGACATGCAAAGTTTTGTTAGAAAGTTTTGAATAGGTTTTGAGTTATGCTCCGGAAACGAACTCTACCCTATAGAACCTAAGTCCAACTTGTTGCCATGGAAACGTAAAAAATAAAGATTTATAAAATTCCTAAATAGAAAAAGGCACCACTTTAGTATGAGACTGATAGATTTGCCAAGTTTCGATCAAATACACTGAATGGTTTTCGAAATCTGCCCCAGAAACGAACCCCATCCCCAATTGAGTCTATGTCCAACTTCATTCCATAAAAATTAAAAAAAAATTTAATTAGTAAAATCCTAAAATATCAAAAGGCACCACTTCAGTATGTGCCTGATAGATTTGCCAAGTTTCGATCAAATACACTGAATGGTTTTCGAATTCTGCCCCGGAAACAAACCCCATCCCCAATTGAGTCTATGTCCAACTTCATTCCATAAAAAATCCCAAAATATCAAAAGGCACCACTTCAGTATGTGCCTGATAGCTTTGCCAAGTTTTGATTAAATACACTGAATGGTTTTCGAATTCTGCCCCGGAAACGAACCCCATCCCCAATTGAGTCTATGTCCAACTTCATTCCCTAAAAATTTAAAAAAATAAAAATTAGAAAATTCCCAAAATATCAAAAGGCACCACTTCAGTATGTGCCTGATAGATTTGCCATGTTTCGATCAAATACACTGAATGGTTTTGGAATTCTGCCCCGGAAAAGGAAATGATAATGCATTATATGCCGGTGGGATACAAATAATGGACAATGTATAAACAAATTACAATCTATTGAAAACGATGCCAAGAGCCAATTTCAGGATGGTAGTCTCTGACATTTTGTGTGCACACTGCTTCTGTAACTTTTCTGTTCCAAGTTCAAGGACACTCATCATCTTGCAGCTATCAAAGAATTCCTGGATCATTCAGTCTGATATGCACATATTCAGGTCATTGAGCTATTATAGATAAATGATGCTGGTAAATTATTCACATCTTACCTCTTGTATCTTTTCATGAAGTTTTGTCAAAAGATCATTGAATTCTCTCTGAAATTAAAATGAAATGTCAGTTCATAAACCATACAGAAGGTTTCTTCCAGTGTGCCTACATACTTGTTTTAATACACTCAAGTTATGGGCTGTTGTTGGTGGCAAATATGATCAGTAGTAATGAACTTAGAGATTTGTCTCCACCATTTACCCAAACACAAAAATCACTGTTCTTATTCATCCTTAATAAATGAGGTTTGTAAAAGTGATAAAAGTCAGTTTTCTCCAAAGCAGCAAATCCTTAATTGGTCATTTGAATACCTTGGTTTTAAACGATGCAGTCAACGCACTATGCAAAAATGTAAATAAAATAATAAACATGTTAGAAACACCTATTAAATGAACTTAGAGTTATTCCTGGTCTTAGAACCTTAGTTCAAGTTCCAGGTTGATAATAACCAGTTTGAACATTGTTTGAAGTGTGTTTCATCATATGATATGTGATTTCAAAGCAAATCAACCATGTGAGATTGAGTGTGAAACATCACAAAATAGGACGCTGGACCACACACATCAATGAGTTGTTTGTTAATCATTACAGCAGCACATCCACCTACCATAGCAGCCTCAGCCTCGTGAGCCTCCTGCATCTGAGCATCGTAGACCTTCCTCTTGGCCTGCAAGGAACAGAACATGAACATGTGAACACTTCAAGGCAGGAGCTGGATTGTGGCAGGAGTTGGATTGTGACAGGAGCTGGATTGTGGCAGGAGTTGGATTGTGGCAGAGATGGATTGTAACAGGAGCTGGATTGTGACAGGAGCTGGATTGTGGCAGGAGTTGGATTGTGACAGAAGCTGGATTGTGCAGGAGTTGGATTGTGACAGGAGCTGGATTGTGACAGGAGTTGGATTGTGACAGGAGCTGGATTGTGGCAGGAGTTGGATTGTGACAGGAGCTGGATTGTGACAGGAGCTGGATTGTGACAGGAGTTGGATTGTGACAGGAGCTGGATTGTGGCAGGAGTTGGATTGTGGCAGGCACAGTCCAACTCTTCAATAGAGAGGGCACATCTCAACAGTTTCACAAGTTTGTCATTAGCTTCAATATTTTCAGTCTTTATTTTTTCAAAACCAAATTTCTTCTTGTTATCTATTTGATATGGATTTGTTACATTATCACATTTGAATGATGTTACCAAACAATGGAGAATACTATTGCTGATAAATATCAACTGAAGTGAAGATTTGTCTGTCAAGTTATCAAATCAAAGAAATGATGACATGAATATGCATAACAGTCACAAATAATGATCAATGAAGTGAATCTACGTATAGCGAGCACCATAAATCAACTCACTGGTTCTCGTATCATCTCAAAGGCGTGACCTAATATCTTGAAGGCTTCTTCAGCACCAGGTTCCTGGTTCTGCAACACCATTATTTCCATGAGACCAGCATATAACAAATATAACCATGGTAACATTGCCACAAGTTAAATCACATCACTCAATATTCCATAATACCTACTGCTATAGACATGTTAACAACAGCTGTTGAGACAAGAGTCATCAGAAGATGACAAGTCCCCCCGGCCCCAACAAATTCGAAATAGCAAACCATCTGACCGTTACTTAAGTCCAACTTGATGAGAGAACTTCTGTCTAATCTGTCTGTCTGTATACAAGAGTAGTTATTGAGCTGTCAAAACAATACCATGGAATTAGGATTCGGAACTTTGTATTTCTCTGTCATTAACACACTACAGCGATTGAAACTAACAGTTTTAATCCAAAAGTCCTTGTAATGATAACATATAGCAAAACCCTTAAAAAGAGCCAATTTCTACTAGTCCTCATGATACCTTAACTATTGGGCAGTTTGGCAAGGACTATTGGACTAGTGCCAATTTCTAATGTTGAACTATGAACAGACTCAAAATCAAACTTGTTACCATGCAAACAGACAAAAAATCTAAAACGCCCTAAATTGGAAAAGGGACCAGTTGACAACCTGGTCAAATTGTTTCCATGGAAATTGAGAAAAATAAAAATGGCACAAATAGATAAATAGCAAAGGCACCACTTCAGGATCTGTTTGAAAAATCTGCCAATTTTCGTTGAAAAATATTAAATGCTTTTAGAGTTACGTTCCGAAAACATGACAGATTAGGCGTCGACTCTATCCCCCGACATTATATGCCAGGGGATAACAAACCTGTCAAGCCAGGGCTAGGAAATATGAGAATAACTGACAAGGATTTATGGATGGAGTGAGTCATTCTTTTGACTTCTTCCAGAGGCAAGGGAGTTAACTGACTATAAAAGTCCAGTTTCAACCCTTGCTGAAATTGGCTGGAATTATGGAGTTACATTTTGGATGGACTACGAGTCCAATCAAAATCACGTAACGAAAAATCAACATCCAGTTCATAAACTGTCGTGTACATTTCAGTCGATTTTGCAGGATTTGCAAAGTATGTGTACCGCCAACTTAGCGTCAACAGATATTTTCCAAATCTTTTCATGTTCTTCATCAAGGTGCTCATGTGATTTGATTCACTGCGCAAAGTAAGACGTGTCTTATTACAATGTAGATCTTGATAATTGATCATATCGTCATTTTGTTTGCAGCAAATGCAAGCGATATGAGAGGTGGAATCTGATTGGTCATAGACAGCTCACAGTAGTGTTGAAAACATTGACTCACTCATCTATTCCCAAGCTGACAGGAATACTGACCTTATCTGGGTGGACTAGCACGGCCTGGCGGCGGTAATACTTTTTGATATCTTCATCACTGCTATCAGAGCGTAATCCTAAAATACTGAAAACAAAAGGAAGACAGATAGACAAACAGGCAATGCACTTGGAGGATCTGCCTTAGAAGCCCCAGAGCTTTCTTGTGAATCTACATGAAACACTCTCGCACTGCCTCACTGAACACATGTTGCATCTACATATGAAGCAGGGTGGAAATTAGGAATGGAAGTCAAGGGGTCCTTGTCCTAATGTTTAAAGGTAAAGACTTAGGGGGTCCCAAGATTCAAATACTGTACCAGCAAACATCAAAGACACCAGGTTCATTTTGAATATGTGTGGTCATCAGGCATAAATTTCCATCACAAAGGCTCCAAAAGAGATGTACATACATGGAGGTCCAACAATTTCTCTCACAACATCACATTATTCTTTGTGTTAAAGTGTTAAACTAATTTGATAGATCTAATATAAGAACCTCCTGATTGTGTTTTATTACCTATTCAGGTGAGAACAGATTACAAACTATACAAAGACTATTCTAGTTTAATGTTTCCTATTCTGCTGCCATGTTAATACTGACCATGTTAAGATGCATCTTACACACGTGCTACACAACTATCTCCCTGTCATTCCTCGGCAAAGACAATTCCTGGAAAGAGCCATGGGTCCTAAAGCTCCTACCCTTCCACATATGGGATACCAAAACATTTCTGGGGTATATTCCTCCCTCTTACTATCAACAATGTGGTAATTATTCACATTCATAATGGCTTTCTAAAAGCTTAAAATTTGTTTCTGAAAATAGTAACATTGATGTAATCTATCAGAATGGATGTGCCCTCACAAACGCAGTCCATTTCTGGAGAGTCATTGGTGAAACTATTTGAGAAGGTTTTCCAGTGTGCCTATAAACATGAAAAAGCGAGGAGATATACTATCTATACCATCATGCCTACAATATAGCCTACTGGATGCCACATATTCCATGTTGCAGTGGACTCCTCACCTATAGGGGTCTTTTCCTCTACAAGCAAGAAGTCGTCTCATGGCTTCCTCTCCTGAAACATTAGAACATTTAGCTAAAACATTCCATAGTGCAATAAAAATGAATTATTTTGGAAGATTTTCATAAAACTTGTTGGTATGTCAATTCTGAAAAAATAAAAATCTAGGGCTATGATCAGATTTACCTCCCCTTGCATCAGTTACCTCCCTTCTCACATGTTAAGGAGGGATACCGCTTTGAGATCTGTTGCTGATTTTCTGGTCTGAACATTATATAATTATTTCCATGTGTAAAATTGAGGTGTATGTTTCTGTACAACTATGGCAACCAATTATCACTTAAATATATTGTAACATTTGAGTAAGCAGATACACAATATCATTTTTAAGCAACCTGAAACAAATTTGCCAGCAATGCCAATTTGACAGAGCCAACGACTTCTTCTCTGGTTCCACAGATGTCCTTGATTCAGAATCTGAGTAATTAAGTTCATATTGCCTGACAAAGTAACATAATTCTTTCAGCTATTAGCAGCAAAAACTACTGAAAAGAATATGTGTCTAAATGCACTGACACTCTGAAATGTTGAAATTTTCAAGTCCAACTTGATGGCAGAATTTCTATCTATTCTGATTGTCTGTATACAAGAGTAGTTATTGAGCTATCAAAACTACACCATGGAATTGGGATTCGGAACTTTGTCTTTCTATGACAGGTACACATCAATATGAACAGAGTCGATATCAAACTTCTTGCCATGGAAACAGAATAAAAGTCAATTCTAAACACCCATAAGTAGCAAAAGGCACATTTGACAAACTGGTCTTTGTGTGTGCAAAGTGTCATGAAAGAATACCTATTAGTTTTAGAGATATGGTCTGGACACCACTATGAAGAGAATCAAAGACAAACTTGTTGCCATTGAAACAGGAAAGAAATAATTGTTTAAAATTCCTAAATAGCAAGGCACCACTTCAGCCCTTGGTCAATACATGTACTAATTTTGGATGAAAGGTCTTTCAAAGTTTTTAAGTTGTGCTCAGAAAAAGACACCTACCCCTCCCTTTTGAGACTAAGTCCGAATTGTTTTCATGGAAATCGAGAAAAATGAAAATGCCCAATATCTGTAAATAGCAAAAGGCACAACTTCAGGCTCTGTTTGATACATCTGGCAAGTTTTTTAGAAAATATTGAATGGTTTTCGAGTTAAGCTCAGGAAACAAAATGACTAAGGCATCAACTATATCCCCACGCATTATATGCAGGGGGGATGAAAAGCAAACAGTTTATTACCTGTACTTGGCAGTGATATATTTTCTTCTAGTCCCGTCCGTCGTTTTGCCGTTTCAGTAGTGCCAGGAATTGTTCCAGGTTTTAAGTTATTTTTGAAGACTTTAGCTTTGATAAAACACCAGCCTTTACTCCAAGCTAAACTGATGAGGTGAACACTGCCAGAAGCTCTGCAACAAACAGGGAGATAGTGGGTGAGTGAATGTTGTTTTAAGCTGCTGTCAGAAATATTCCAGCAAATGGCCTCAGGTCTGAGGCTAGGCCAGAAAAACAAGCTGGGGCAAGATGACAAGCACTTCAACAAGTCATACACTGTAATTCACATTAGCCTGTCCCAAGTGGCCTATAATCTCAATTATCTGGAAGGGAGCTGGCATCAAACTATACATTTTTTTAACATCCAGCAAGGCCAAAGAACAATTTATTTTGGGGTGGTTAACCTGAGGACAAATTATGTTTTCCCAGTCCCTAATAGAACTAAAAAACAAGAGTCATCAGAAGATGACAAATGCAGCATGGCTTATTGAATAATAGAATAAAGGGCCAGGTGAGAACCATACTCCCCAAGGAGCTGAGAGTGCAAATAGAATGAACACTGATGGTTTACCAAAGTAATAATGTCCTACCCATTGAACATGTCTCTCTGTGGTGAGGCCTATTATCATCATAATGTTGCTCACAAGTACTACTGAAGTCCCCTAACATATATAAAAATTCCTTGTAAGAGCTGGTAGCATGTATACTCACAAGTACATGATGATCCCGAGGAGATAGAGAAGAAGAGTTAGCAAGATAGACACTGTGCGATGAAGGCCACTTTTACACCTCTCACCCAGGAAGCTCACCCACTCATCTGAAAAAGTATAAAATAATACATTCAACATGGCTCGATTTAAGGAACTTGATTTAACTTGCACCAGGTGCATGTTGGCATGAAAACATAGTTGCACCAGACAAAAGCAGGATGCATCCTGGTCCCATAAATTGAATATTGAATATCAATATTGAAACATGTACACATAATCTTGAAGTATCCAAAGTTTGATGATGTCAAGCCCCCAAAAGCATGACAAATAAGACATAAAACAGTGATTGTTGATGTAGTGTGGTAAATAAAGCCTAGAGGTGTTCAAAGATCCACACTTGTTGTCTGGACAAATTTGAAAGATACTGACATGCACTTGGTGCATGTACTTAACAAATAACTGATGAGTGGGAGTTGTTCATAGATCACAAGTCATTTATTTCTTATATGATATGTCAACATAATGTACAGCCCCCTCAAGAAAATGCACAAGCTTCAAAAATATTTATCCATACTGAAATAACGATGACTAACTGAAAATCCAACTTTGGCAATGTCAGAGAAGTCCTTTTTATGAACAGGTGGGTTCCTGCATTATCTCACAAATGTTACGTTGATTACCAGAACCTTTTCTTACAATACCAACTGTAATATATCTCCCACTTTCGGATACGATTGTTCGGCCATACCGTTAACCTGTTTCCCACCTAACATCTATCATGGGGAACAACTCACCAGACACTCCCCTCTCATAAATAATGTTGTCCAATATATGAAGTCATCAAGTTGCGAGCACATGTTCTAATCTCCCGTACAAACATCACGAGAGAACAATATTTTACTGATAAATTAACCAGGCTTCATTCTTCATTTCTTTTATACAGAAATATTAAGTTTCACTTTTCAATAACAGGTGGCACTCCTGCATGTTTTAAATAGCTATTTCAAGCTCCGAGACAATCACATCAGAAACTGACACAAGAACCACATATACCTTTATTACACCTCATGACATTGGCAAGGATACATTCACACCGATCATAAACAACAGCCGCATGGCTGTAGCTAATCTGCATAATTATATCAGGATCAGCTATTCCAATATTATGTTATATTAGTTGCAGCCTTTACTATATATATTTTAAAAAATAATAAGCATAGCACTTGGGTACATCGAACTGCTATTGCCAGATATGTTTACGTGACATTATGATTAGTCACCATTGAGGCTTCCTGCAGTTTGGCTATTTTGATCCTGAAAACGTTATGTTTACATTTAATAGTCAAAACTACAACAAATATGACCCTTAACAAGTCAAAGTATGGCATTTATGAAATATGTATCCGTTCTCTGTTAACTAACATTCGTTTCAAGGCACCAATAACAGTTATCTTATCATGGTTGCTGTAAGTAAGAGTTAGTTGGTGTGATCTGGATCTGTTCTCTCATTATATTACTGAAATTAACATGATTAATGTTGAATAAAATTTTGCATAAAATTAATAAAATAGATTACAAACATACGTCCTGACATACAATGAACACTTCTTTTAACCAGAGAGTATAAGAGTGTTATAACAGGATTAAATTGAGAACTTCAGTATGGATTTGTTGACATGGTATTTCCAGTGTTACGTGCTCACGGTAATGTCTTTGCGTTGGGGACAAAACATCAATACTGATCGTGACGTACCCACATATTTAATTTGACAGTATTGTGGTCACTGGTCATTGTCACATTTAAGGCAGATACTAGAACCTGGATAAGTGCAGTATATAAATGTATAATATATTAATAATTAACAAACCATGTCAAATAATTTATGTTGATATTGTTTCACTGAATATAACAAATAATACATCAACTGGTGACTTTTTATTATATTCGTGAATTAATATTCGTCTTCGTTAACCTATATTTGTGATAGGAATCGTATTCGCCTCATAGTGTATTCATTGCAGCCCTAATATAAACACAGGAATTCAAAGCTTCTTCAACCTAAACGAGATATCCTTTATCATGTTTATAAAGAGATTCCATGAATTCCACGGCATACAACATAGTTCACAATTCACATGTTAAACAAGTAAAACAAAATGATTAAAGAAACATACTTTGATTAAAGTGACAATACACATGATACATGTATTTCCCATTCACTTAGCATTAAGCATGATAAGCCCTATGTAATTTTCACAAGCAATTACCGTGATTATGACCACAGCACAAAGCTTGGTGCTGGGCAAACAGAACCTGAGCTCTACTTCCAAACAGGCTGGACTTTTAACTACCAGCAATGTACTAATCACTGTCACTTGACACCTCCCAAACCAAGGCCTTCTTTCTATCGCTTCACATACGACCTTAATCCTCACTATTTCAACTTCATGTAGTCATGGCAACCTACTACAGATGAAACAACTCACAGGTACACTTGACAATTTCCATGTCACATCCCAGATCCTAAACATACCTCCTCCTTCCTCACATGAAATCATTTTACCAGGCAGCCGTTACATTGCAGTAGCTACTACACTGTCACCAGTGCCTCGCCACAATGAAAGTGAAAGTAAAGTCTGCATAATCAATAGTCATAAGACACGCAATCATTGCATGTAATCACTGCAATCTGTCCTCACATACATATCTGGGTTTGAACTAGGTCAAAGCTCTTGCATGACACATAGAAAAGATAAGTTTTATACCTACATATCTATACCTCAAATTCCATGCTAAATTAGCCAACCTTTGGACTTCAATTTCACATCAATGTACACTTCAGCTTCCTTGTCACCCTGAATATAGCATGTAGAGCTACTCTTGTCCTGTATGAGCAGGAAATACTGCAGTATTCAACAATCAAAATATACATAGGTACTTCAAAATGCAACATTTTACTTTCTCAACTTCACTGAATAACAGAATGTTTTCAGAATCATCAGCCACAGAAATAGGCACTTGTCCTATAGTCCTTGTCAAACTGCCCAATAGTTAAGGTATCAAAAGTAATACCTTATTCAACATAAAAAGCGCCCAGGGCGCTCTCAAAATTAGAAATAGGGGGCTCTTATTAGAATATTATTTTGGTGAGAAAAAAAAACAGAGTTAAAGGATAAATTTCGTGGTTTATGCTGACAGCCTGAAATGTTTATATACGAGAGATATATTTTTCCAGAATTTAATTGCCCATAATTAAGGGTGCATATAACACAAGAGTGCGTATTATACACGAATAAATACGTCTTGAGTACATTGATCAATCGGAAGGGGTGCTAATTGGGATTGTTCACTAGCCAATATATAAGCAAATATCGCCGTGGGTGCTTATTACGTCGAATACGGTAGTAGAAAATTGCCATTTTCAAGGGTTGCTATATGTTATCACGATGAGGACTAGTAGGCTTAAAATGTTAGTTTCTATCGCTGCATCAAAATACATAAAAGAACTTTTTTTAAACTGTGTGAGTGGGCTGTTCTGACAGTCAGGCAAATGGGTTGGGGGATTGGGGTTGGCGGCACTGTGGGCTTGAGGTCTTCTATCAGCCCATGATATTGGAAAAAAGGGACCTCTCATATCTTCAACTTTTGACATCATGGTGATGACAAGGACCCCTTGACTTGCAGGCTTAAATTAGAACAGTAAATGCTTTATTTGAAGTAGCCCCATAACATAATTACAATTCATAGAGAGTCATGTTTTGCATTCTCAGGTATCTGACAAAGGAATACAATTAAATATTACTGCTTTCTTACCACTCTCCATTTTTAGCCCCTGACAGGAAGTGGAAGGAGGGATATTGCAATGGGGGCCATCTGTTCGTCATGTTTCGTTTCCGGAGCAAAACTTGGAAACCGTTTGACATTTTATTACAAAACTTTGCATATTTATCGAACACAAGCTGAACTGGTGCCTTTTGGTGTTTTGGTATTTCTCAAAAAATATTTTTAGTGTTTCCATGGCAACAAACTTGACTTACACTTAAATACACATAGCATTCGTTTCCGGAGCATAACTTGGAAACCATTAAATATTTTATTACAATACTTTGCACATTTATCTAGCACATCCTGAAATGCTGCCTTTTCATGTTAACATATTTCTGCAAAAAATATTTTTGTATCTCCTTGGCAACAAACTGGATTCAGACACAAAGACGCATAGCATTTAGTTTCCCGAAAATAACTAAAAAAATATTTCATATTTTATTATTAACTTTACATATGTATCAAACAAATGCTGAACTAGTGCCCTTTGATACTTTGCTATTTCTTAAAAAAAGTATTTTTTGTGTTTCCTTGTTTCCTGGAGTTACTCTCCCTTTCTCCATGCTTTAGATATTGTGCATCCTTTTCATCGTGCATGATTTTAGAAAATCAGTATTTAGGTATATACCTCAACCTTTAAAGTGCCCCATGGCAGGGGATAGTGACGAAGCTGTTTTCTTGTTTATGATACGCAAAAAGCTATGCCAGGGCTTCAGATTTATATTTTGGCCATTGAATACTTACATATAATCATGGTAATTATTCTCAGTTGGTATTTAACACATATCATATAATCTATTAGGTATTTTAATACCAATCAGAAGACATATTCAATAATTCTGCATAAAATTCTGTTTCTGGTCTCTTGTTATTTGCTGCTTACTTGCTGCCTCAACTATGTCACTCGCAACAGAGATACATATTTAGGTTACAACAAGCAATGACAAGCGAGGTGAAGAGCACTTGTTACTGCAGCAGAGTTAATGCAAATTATGTATGTGATGCCTGCCTTAGATAAGAAGCTAAAGATCTATAAGACTACATTTGGTAATTATGTTGTACCTTAGGATATTGACAATATTGATTTTATTAAAATGTTCATGCACATTCATGTATTTGAACACATATGTAAGCAACTCGAAATGAATTGAGTGAGGCTGAGTTTGTTTGTGTTTTCTACACAGATGCACAGCTGATCTCCAGTTCTGTTATCTCGAATGAAGAATTCCTTATGATGAGATAGCGTCAGTTTGCTTTTCACACAAGCTAGTTGAAAGTGTA